AATGGAGAGGAGTGACAGTGGTCCGGATTTACTATTGGTTTAACTTTGGTAGGGAATAAATGTAAAATAGGTAGTGGTGAGTGAAAAATGAAGTTAACGCTTTGCGGTCCAATGTTATTTTTGGAATTCAAACAGTCTGGTCCAAATTAATTGACGGGATTGAATGTTGAACTTTTTAATGTTCTTAATTGCTCGACGTTGGACCTGCTTCTAAGCGCCTGGTTTGTCGCGTCAGCCTTGTGGTTGGACTGAAAAGGGTTAAAGTAGGCATAGACTTTGACTTCATTTTTGCTGGTTGAGGTTGCTTACACTAGATCTTAAAGAGTTGTTATGTTCCCTTTTAAAATACACCCCCACAGGCCTGTCATTAATGAGAGCTGGATTTTGAACAGGGCATGATGCTCATATGTCTATTTTGATGGTGATTTTGAGGAAGATAGAGTCCAAGAGGACATTAGCATTCATGATGGTTAGAAGACTCTTGCAGTGATCTAGATCAGCGGTTCTCAACCTGTGGGTCGCGATCCCTTTGGGGGTCGAATGACCCTTTCACAGGGATTGCCTAAGACCATCGGAAAACACATATATCCTATCTGATAATAGAGAAACATGGTAATTAACCGTAACTTCGCTACCCTTCCCATTGGCTAATCAGCGAGACATGCAAATTAACTGCCAGCCAAGATGGCGGCTGGCAGCCAGGCAGCTGAAGCGAACAGGAGGCTTGCTTGTTCCAGTGATGGAGGAAGCCAAGGTTCATGTCTTCTACCCACAGGTGTAATGCCTGTTTGTCTTCACTAAGCACTTATGCATTGTGGCTGTAACTGCTGTGGTTTGAAGTGTTTGAAGTATGATAGCTAAACTAGCACAGATTTCTTTTTCCTTCCTCACAATGTCATTGATAGAAGAGTCATTCTTGTTGTCTATCTTCACAACCTCCCAGCATGTGATTTTCTTTTTTGTATTAAGTTGAGAACTTTAAGCTTTTCACTTACAGGAAGCACTTTTTGCTTCTCTTTGACATACCCAATTGCCACCATCACTACTCTTATGCTTTGGGGCCACTATTAAATAAAATAATGGTTACTTGAACCACAAGCACAGTGAAGCAGCGATGGTTGATCTAATAACCAAGATAGCTGCCAAGTGGACAAAAGGATGATTCCTGTCCTGGCTGCACACAGCAGGATGGTGCCAGATTTCATCATACTATTCAGATGGGTTGTAATTTTAAAATCATGAATTACTTATTTCTGAAATTTTTCATTTAGTATTTTCAGACCATGGTTGACCGTGGGTAACTGAAACCACAGAAGGCAAAATTGTGGATAAGGGGGACTACTACACGGACTATTAAAGTTATTATCTTTTATTTGTGAAAAGTTTAAATAGCTACATCTTATTTATATTTTATATGCTATGTGCTCGCTTCGGCAGCACATATACTATATTTTATATGATATGGATGGCACCCTATGTATCAGGATATCTAACCAAAAAAATAGTAGTTTAGATGTAGGGGTAAATTCAATTAAAGCCATTTCAGAAAAGTCAATAGACCTGGGATTTGAATATTTAAATACTTTTTAAAAATATATATATTTAATGATTTTTTTTTCAGAGAGGAAGGGAGAGGGATAGAGAGTTAGAAACATCAATGAGAGAGAAACATCAATCAGCTGCCTCCTGCACACTCCCCACTGGGTATGTGCCGGCAACCAAGGTACATGCCCTTAACTGGAATCGAACCTGGGACCCTTGAGTCCACAGGCCGACACTCTATCCACTGAACCAAACCTGTCAGGGTGGGATTTGCATATTTAAATAAAGGAAAGGCATTGTTCTCCCAAAGGGTTCCTTTTTAAGCTCTCCAGAAGAGTTTAGAATAATAAGACTCAGTTTGAATCATCATCTTAAGAATCCTATTCATTGATAGTTGAGCAGGTATTTTATTTGTAGAATGACTGAAAGAACTGTTTTGCCTACCTACTCCTTTCTCTTTGAGATTCATACCCATTAGTAGAGGCTTGGAGAGGATTTATTTTAAACCACTTTATTGAGGTATGATTGACAACAAAAAAACTGTACGTATTTAATGTATGCAACTTGATGAGTTTGGAGGTAAGTATTCACCTGTGAAACCATCACCAAAATAAATACAGTAAGCGTATAGTTCATATAGTTGGTGTGTTGTTGTTTTTTTCCTGCCCTCTTTGGAGGAAATTTTAGCTCAGTAATTTCTGTTTGTTTCAGGTCAGAAGTATGGTGAAGCTGATAAGAAATTGTTACAGGATTTCCCAGATTGTGAATACAGAACTTGTAAAGTTCATGTGGCACAAAAAGGGCTCCTTACCCAAAGATTAGCAGGAAATCATTAAGTCAACAAGTATACTAGTAAGAGCTTAAATGCCAGGTCTGATTTTAGTGGCTGAGAGATTCAGCAGTGAAAAAAATTCCTGCCTTCATAGAGCTGACATTGGCTGGGAGGAGGGAGGCCAAGAAAAATCAGGAAGGAATGTGGGGTTAGAACTTGAGGATCACTAGTAGGAGGCTGCTGCTATTTTAAAACAGTGGGCTGTTAAAGCTTCGTTTTAAGGTGACACTTGAGCAGTTTTGAGGTTGATACATGAATGAGCCATGAAAATATTTAGGGGAAGAACATTTCAGAGAGAGTAGCAGATACAGATACCTTGAAGTGAACTTGTTTGACGTATACAGGGAATAGCAAGGAAGCTGGTGTGCCTGGAGCAGAGCGAGCAAGAAGGGAGGACTAGCTTGTGTAAGAGAGATTATCAGATTCGAATAAGGCTTTATAGCATAGAGTTGGAACTTCCAACTCCAAGCAAAATGAGATGAGTTACATGATTTGATTTTATATTTTCAGAAGGTCAGTCTGGTTGCTCTGTGATTATAGGCCAAGAGCAGAAACCGAGACCAGTTAGGAGACTGTTGCAATAAACTGAGAGATGATGGTTTGGACGAGGCTAGTAGCAATGGAAGTGGTTAGGAGGGCTTAGATTCTGGGTATATTTTGAAGGTAGAGACAATAGAATTTCCAGTTGGATTAAAAGTGAGGTAAGGGTGTAATGAGGATTACAAACTTTTTGGCAGTTGTAAGGATGGATTGGACATTTGCTCATTTGGAGAAGACTGCATGAGAAGCAGATTTAGGGGGAAAGATTAAGGTTTCTGTTTTAGACTTGCTAGTAGGCATTCAAGTAGAAACATTGAGTAGGAATCTGAAAATATGACCGATATTAGGGGAGAGGGCCAAACAGGATATATAAATTTTGAGGTTAACTTAAGCCATGAGAATAGATGAAATCAACTTCACCTTTTAAAAACAGCGTGGATAGACAAAAAGGCTTAGAACTTGAGCCTTAGGGTTGGCAGTTGTGATGAAGAACTGGTAAGCAGACTGACAAATACAAACCAGTAGAGTAGAAAGATGGTATAGCTTGGAAGGCAAGTGAGAAATCTGTTTCAAGTAGGAATGATCAGCTCTTTGAATTGCTGCTAGATAGGTCAAGTAAGATAAGAACTGAGGCTTTGACTATTAAATTTAGCAATCTGGAAGTCCCTTGGTGACCTCTTCAAGAGTAATTTCAGTGAAATGGTAGAAAATGGGAATCCGTACTAGAGGGGCTTCAAGATATAGTGGGGAAAATAGGACTTGGATACAATCAATATAGAGTTGTTCTCCTTCCCTGCCTTGTGATTTTGCTGTAAATGGAAAAGAAAGAAATTAGGTGGTGCTGGAGAAATATGTGGGGTTGTGAGGATTTATTTGTTCTTAGGATGGGAAACTGATAATTTTGAATGCAGATGGAAATTATGTAGCAAAGAAGAGAAAAAATTTGATAATGCTAGTAAGGAGGATTGCTAAAGGGGGTCCTTGAATAGATGAGTTGTTATGGAACTAGAGCAGTACTTGTTAAACTTCATTCTGTGTGTGAATCACCTGGGGTTAAAATGCAAGTTATGGTTCTCTAGGTCTGGTTTGGGGTTCTGAAATTCTCCATTTATAACAGGTTCCTAGAATTTGCCTGTGTTTTTTGTCCCGGTGCTATAATTTGAGTATAAGAACTGGGCACTAATTTGCTAGTAGCACAAGAACTAACAAATTATATTGGTATACAGTCAACTAGATTAGTGGATATGGTGAATTTGTAGTTTCTTTTCAGGTTCCTGTTTTCTCAAAACAGGAAGCAAGTCATTATCCAAAAAGATAGTAAAGTCATCTAGGATATTTGGGTCAGTAGATTAGAGAAAAGTAGGATTGTGGGGTTAAACTAAGGGCCCATTTGTGATTAGTGGTCATGAATTTAAACAGATGAATTGAATATGAGCATATGTTTTATTCTTCATTTACTTTCAACTACATGGGTGCAGTGTAGGCAGGCAGTTGAGTCTTATAATGGTGTGTTTTTGGAGGGAGGTAGAGAGGGACAAGTGACTTAAAACAACTGTTACATAAAAGGTAGTTACAAATGATGGACCATGAAATCTAATCTGGGAAAGGAAAATTAGAGTATGCTAGGTTAAACAGAAAATGTGGGCTTTATTTTTGTTTTCTGTTTGTTTTATTTTTAAATGCAGGTCTTTCCTCCATCTTTAATTTGTCAAAGAGCTCTGTAAATCTACAGGAGAGGAAATCTCTGAGCTTGTGTTTTACTAAATAAACTTAGGGGAAAGATGTTTCACACTTTCTGCTAAAGCAAGTATTAATAACAGAGATTGTGATTTTAAATGGAGGGGTTCTGCTGCAGATAAGGGAGGGAGGCCTTAAAGGATTTTTTAAAAATGGTTTTTATCAACTCTAAAAACTGTAAATTTATTTTATTTCTATTAAAACAGATTGTTAACATCCTTATAAGTCATACAGCTTTATCATCGTAGCCATATAATGAAATATTTACTTTATGGATAAATACAGACAAATTTTCAACCATTGGTTTTTGTTTTTGTTTTTGTCTCTTTTTCTCTCTTGGATATTACAGATGACCATGGATGAAAAATATGTAAACAGCATTTGGGACCTTCTGAAAAATGCAATTCAAGAAATCCAGCGTAAGAATAACAGTGGTCTTAGTTTTGAGGAGCTCTATAGAAATGCATATACAATGGTTTTGCATAAACATGGAGAAAAGCTCTACACTGGACTAAGAGAAGTTGTTACCGAACATCTCATAAATAAGGTATCCAACTTTAAAGGACTGTTACTAATTATACTGAATCTAGGAAATCTTTATACCACATTTTACTATGATTAGAAGTATTGTTTTTAAAGGCTCTAGGAAGCCTATGGATATAACCAGTTAATGGCTTTATTACAAAACCTTACTCAAAACTTACAATCAGCTAAATCAGATTTTTGATAATTGAGGGAAGATGAAATTTGTGTTCTATGAGCAATATTCTCTGTAATCATAGTTAAGGAAGCAAACTTTCAGTAATTTACAAATGCTTATTTATTAATATGTTAATTATAGAGCATCATTTTTTCCTTAAAATGCATATTCAACCAAAATTAGCTTTCTCCACTTTCTCTGCATAGTTGAAAATATGAAAACTACATTGTTACATTGTCTAAGACTTTTTACCATTTGAAACTTATTTTTTTTATTTTAACTGAGTTTTACTTTAGAAATATAAATTTTAAAAAAATAGTGTTGGGCTGTTAACATTATCAAATGTATCAAATGGTTCTTTGGTTCCAAAAGGATGTATATGTTTTTAGAACATATGTTTTTATAAAGCAAACTCTTCCACTGCAAGTATGTTTGGCTTTAAGATTGTCAGATAAGATGTAATTATCACAGATAAACAAAAATTCAAAAGCTTTTGTGTGGTATTAGGGTATTCATTTTTAAAATTTTATTTTTGAGAAAATGGAAAAGTTGTACCAATAGTACAGTGATCTCATTGTAGATTCACCTGTTATTAATATTTTGCCACATTTTTGCCAATCCATTTATTGATACATGTTATTATCCAAATTACTGATATTATTGCTGAACAATTAAAGAATACATTTTAGATTTATTTACTCTCAAATATTTGAGAATATTTATCCTAAGAACAAGGAAATTCTCTTAGTTAACCAAAGAACAATGTTCTAAATCAGGCAGTTTAACATTAGTATAATACTTTTATCTGATGTAGTCCACATATAAATTCACCCTTGCCCTGTGTAGCAGTGATACCCTTTATTGAAGTTTTCTGATCCAGAATCCAATCCAGGATCACATACACAATTTCTCAGCCTTTCTTTGTCTTTCAACACATTGACATTTTTGAAGACTATAGGTCAGTTGTTTTGTAGATTGTCCCTCAGTTTTTGGTTTGTCTGATTGTTTCCTCATGACTAGTTTCAGGTTATGCATTTTTGGCAGGAATAATACATAAGTGATGTTGTGTCCTCAGTGCATCACATCAGGAGGCACATGATGTCAGTTTATCCCATTATTGGTGATGTTAACTTTGATCACTTGGTGTCCGCCAGATTTCTCCACTGTAAAGGTACCTTTTTTCCCTTTGTAATTCATAAGTAATTTGTTCAGATATATTTTGAGACTGTATAAATATCCTGTTCCCCAAGAAACTTTCATGTGATTGTTTAGCATCCATTGATGGTTCTTGCATGAATCATTATTACTCTAGTGGTTACAAAATAGTCACTTTTTATTTCTATTATTCCTTCTGCAAGTCCTTTCTCTTAAGTGGGATTACATGAGCAGTAGCTAATATCTCATAAAGCAGGTGATATGTTCTTCATGCAGTTCAATGGGTTTTTTTTTTTTGTTAAGTGACTGCTAGGAAAATATGGTGGATGCAAAGAGATACATGATACTAACGCTTCGTAGGTTTGTTTTTACTCTGATGTGAGAGATGATACACACATTAGATAACAGTGTGAGGCATTATATAATTAAGTGGTAAATAAGTTACCCTGGGCTGTAAGATTTCATGAGAAGGATCAAATTGAAGTGAGCCATGATAAATTTGGGATATAAGTGAACTATGTGGAAGGCATTCCAGAGATTGCAGGTATAACGTGATCATATAGACATGTTTACTTAGGTGGTAACTAGAGTTTGATTGAGGTATATGATAATTTATGGGAATTAGTGGATTATGGTACTGCAAAAATGGTTTGGGAACCAACTGGAGAAAAACTTGAATGCCAAGTTAAGGGATTTGAACTTAACAGTGGAGGTTTATTGGATGTTTTTAAGTAGATAATAATGTGACATTTGAGGAAGATTAAAATGGATTTATATAATGTAGAATTGAGAGGTTGTTTGCTGGAAGCAGGAGAAAACCCGTGAAAATCTGAGTAAAGCATTAGGCTAGAAATGAATGGATAATGTCAAATTCTAAAGTAAGACTAGATGGTATTTGGTTATTGGGAGAATTATGGTGCCACTAATAGAAATATTGTGAAATAATAGTGGAAAACTGATTTGGAATGAGTGGAGGAAATGACAAATTTTGTTTTAGATTATATTGGAAATTTTTATAGTTGGCAAGCACCTTAGAAATTATTTTACATTTGAGGATAATTGTGAGATGATAATAAAATTCTCAAGTAAAAATATCATGCTTGGAGGGAGATACAGGTTTAGAGCTTGAGTAGGAGCTCAAAACTGAAGATCAAGATTTGGCATTTGGTAGCACATCTTGAGGAATAAGTGTTGGAAATCACAGAGAACAAAAATCCCAGAGCCAAGGAATGAGTCTTCAAGAGCAAACTGTGGTTAAATAAGTATGAGAAAATAAGACTAATATAAGGAGCTTGATATCAAACAAAAAAGGAAGAATAGAGTGGAAGAGTTTTGCTTTAAGCTCTTGAAGGGAGAGAAGATTAGAGCAACTGAGTGCTTGGATGTGGAGAGAGTTGGGAACAATGGGGAAGTAAAGGTAGGAGAGAGGGGCATGTTCTCATTTGCCAGAGTTTTATAGTGAATGGATCAAGATGTAATAAATATGCTAGCCTTGAGGCTGCATGAGGGGCTTCAAGTAAATTGGCTCAATGTTTGTAAAACTATAGTTCTTTAAATTCTAGGTCTTAGTTTATATAATTAAAATGAAGGAATTGGCAGTAATATCTTTGAGATTCTTTAGTTCTAAAACTTATGAATCTAATAATTAAGCCATACAGCTGAAAATGAGGGGAAGAGTCTTGGTCTAGCCCTTGTGGAGAATATAGGGAGGAATTGTCAAGTGAGGAAAAGGCTCAGTAGAAAATAGATCGAATGTGTGATCATCATTATTATCATCATCATCATATTATTTTAAGCAGTGCTTTGCAGCTTGGGCACAGAAACAGAAAAATCATCTGTAGTTAATGTGCTATGATTGAGAATTGGCTTATCCAAAAAGTGAGGAGAGAAGGCCAGAATGGGAGGTCAGTATTTAAATGATTAATTTTTGGACTCTCCACGTGGTTAGGTAGAAATTGAAGTCATGTGAACACATAATTCCATGGTAACTGTGGGAGCTTTAGCATTTTTCAGTTGTTTAAAGTGATCCTATATTAAGGTTAACTGTCATTTTAAAATACAGGCAGTTTCCCAATATATTCCAGAGAACATGTATTCAAGTTGATTGTGCTAAAGAAATTAAAAATATATTTGCTAAATTCTTTATTTCTTTTACACAGGTATTAATGATAGAGCACCAGCATCTGAAAATGTTCTTTAATATTTTTTTTTCACAAGCCCTCATTTGACTAGCTTAAACTGTCAATTTCTGACTAAGAAATGTACCAGTTTCAGCATAGCTAATTCTTTATTTCAATTGACTAACTTTTTGAAACTCTGTTAGTATCTGTGCTTACATTTTTGTGTTTTCCGTTTATCTTTTTTGATTTAACTGTAAATACTACTTTATGGAGACACCAAAAGAAGTCTGTTAACTGACAGGCAGGGTCATCATATAGTAATCCAAAATGTTTGTCTCCTGATATAGGAAATCTTACACTTGTTCTACCAGATGGGACTTTTAGAAATGCTTGCTTCCAAGTAAATGTGTGTAAGAGTAGTTCGCATGAAAATCAGTATCAGCAGTCTCATCATTGCACCTTCTGACTAGAAGATGAAGGAATGATTTAGGGTTCTGTGGTGTCAGTGTAACTATCTTCAGTCTTACCAAATATATCCCTTTGTGTGTTGAAAGCATTATTACATTATCTGTTCATCAGCTTTTTGTTCTCTATGCTTTTAGCAGTTAGCTGAACTGCCTAGTGTGTGTGTGTGTGTGTGTGTGTGTGTGTGTGTGTGTGTGTGGTTTTGTTTTTTTGTGTGTGTGTTTTTTTTTTTAAGCAAAACGAACCTTTGCCTAAAGGTTCTTTTGAAGTGAATTTGAACCTTTTAGTGTTTTAGTGGTACGGCCTAGATAGCCAGAACCTATCTTTTCATGTTGAAAAATGCAATGGAAATACAATTTTTACATGGAATCAGGGATGGTTTATTGTAGTTTATTGGTACCCTGATTTCAAGATGAGAAGAATGAACATTTTGAAGAACATTTTTGATAAAGCAGAATGGTTCAGACTACCAGAGGGCATATGAAGGGAGAACACTTCTTTGAGATGAAATGATCTGATTGACTTTGGAAATGAGTTCACAAAATTGAAGCAGGCATGGAAAAGCTAAATGCTCTTTCTTGGTAGTATTTTCTTTCTAACTCTAGCAGAATATTCCCTTTGAGGAAACTGAGACTCAAAGGAATTCAGTGAATTTCTGAAGACCACAAAGTGAAACTGAGGGTGTGATGTGGCCTTTGTGTCTCGCCATAAGAAAAATCTTGTCTTATTTTAGTAAATATGAAACCTTTTCAGAATTCACAGGGTTTATTTTCTTTAACTCTTTTCTAAATAAAATAGCTTTAAAAGCACGGTTATATTGGAGAAAAAATGTACTGCTACTTTTCAGTTTTAAGAATTTTTGAATTATAGATCATTTTGTCAAATCAAATGTGTTCTTGTAAGACTTAACACCGAATTCAACATTCAAAGGTATTTATTTGACTGGCTCTGACTTAGGTGTAGGAAATATATTGGTAAATAGAATGCATCTGATCCCTGCACTCATGGAACAGATAAACAAGTGTTTAGTTATAAAATATAATGGAGAAAACAGCATACAGAGTGTTAAAGAAAAATGATGAGGGCAACTACATAGGGCCAAGAAAA